ACAAGTCTGGGTCCCATAGCTCCAGGAAACCCCAAATTAAGCACCATTCTATAAAAATAAAATTAAAGAGGTTCTGGTCCTCTTGTCCTCATGTGTTCTCTCTCTCTCTCTTCCCACCACTGTTGTTTTTTCCTTCAATTTAGCAGGCAGTAGCAGACACTGAAACGTTTTGTTACTTTTTCTTGCGATGGTTAAAAAAAAAAGTTTGCTGTGTTGTAAAACAAAACTGCAGTTGAATCATTAGCTTTATTTTTCAGTGGATCTCTGCACAGTCCTGCAATGGACTTCCTAAAAGCCCTCTGGAGAATGAATGGATATGAATGTTCTTTTGTTCTATGGCCCCAATTGCTAGAAGAAAAAAATGGATTTTGGAAAGATGCTAGAAGAGCAGCTGTCACATGAGAAACAGAAATTTCCCAATAAAGAAAAATCCAGGTCTTCTTAGAGGTTGGGCACGTAGGAATGAAAATGGAATAAAGTATCAAAAAGGCTAATTTCCTTTCTCCCCTTGCTTAGTTAAAAGTATGACCTCCTCTGGCCACACATTCTGGTTTTTTGGAAGAACCAACTTTCCTGCTTGGTACCTACCTATTTTTTTCCATCTAGAAAGAATGAAGTCCTTTGCTTCTTAGGACATCTCCTACTCTTCTTTCCTCCTCTCAGCAGATACACTACCTCCAGAAGTTCAGATACTCAGCTGAATAATATCTGATGCATCTTTCTTTCTTGCATATACAGTCCCGAACAGGTCTGCTGTAGATCTTTGGCTTACTGCATAATTTCTCTCCCCCACTGCCTTCACCCTCAATTTCTTAACCTGGGCAGACTGCTGTTTCTCACTTGCTGAAGATGGCTGCCAAATACATCTTCCCTCTTTCAAGTGAAGATTTTATTCCAAGACCAAACAAATCCAGACTCTTCCAAAAGTAAGGAGGGAGGGGGAGAGAGGCATCAGGGCCGGGGGGGGCAGGTTACAGAGGGAGAGGAATGTGCGGTCTAAAATGTATGTATGTCAAAGTAGTAGGAGCCTGGCCATAGTAATTGAGGGGTGTAAATGAGAATTTGGGAGAGAACGTAGCAACATGAATCTTGTTCAGGGCCTTTTACACCTAGAAAGAGCCACTGTTTAGGTGTAAAGTCCCAAAACAGTCTTACTTCTGAGTGGCATACAGACTAATACCTTATTTTTATCATGAATATTATTCAATATTTAAAGAATTCTCAATGAATACTGTGTACCAGAAGTTTAGAACTACTATTGTAGATAATATCTGTCTATTTATAGTTACCTATAAATGATAACTTTTGCAATTCTCTACTTCCCATTCCTGCTAGTATCTACAGTGAATTAAATAAATTTAACAGTATTTTTGAAATATTAATATTTAAAGAGAAGTACCAAAGATAGAAAGTGTATAGGCTTTTTATAATCCTCAGAAAAGCAATTAAAAAAATGCAGAGCAAAATATTGTTGCTCTGGTCAGTTTTATTCCTTCCTGAAAATGGGACACAATGGAATTATATAAATAAGATCTGAGAATTATATCTGAATATATCCATTGTCAATAAAAAACATTAAGAGTCAGCAAAAAAAGTTCTATCCCAGAACTATTGATATCAGAAGAACTCAGGAAGAATGAATCATGTGATCTGAACATGAACAAAAAACATTATCCATTTCTTTGGAATGTTAAAATAAAAGGCCTCAAGACATTGAATCATTTCCTGCTGTTGCTTTATAGATTTTAAAAGAAAACCTCAAATTTCTATTGAAGAATTCATAGCAAAAAGCAATCACCTTCAGACATTTTTTTTTTCCTTCCAAGGCAGGTAATTGCAGTACTGATTTAGGTCTTGCTTGTAAACCTCAAGGTAACTTAGAGGAAATCTTGAGACCTCAATTGAGAAGTGAGAAATGAGACTGTAATTGGGAATGGCAGAAATGTTTCCATTCCACCAATTTGCTAGAGGTTTTGGGTTTCATTGATGATATTAATTGCCAAAAATTGTAAGTAAATGTTACCTGTGGCTTCTTCTAGTGTAGCAACATCTAGTCTAGGGCTATAATTTCCATAGCCAGCAGCAGTAAAAGCACGAATCTGGAAAACATATACAGTTCCTGGTTTCAGATTATTAACCGAAGCAGAAGTGGCTCTCGTTTTCACTGTTGAATAAGTTCTCTCCCTTTGGTCCTGCAAACATAAATACACAATTGAATGGTATTTAACTTTCAGATTTCCATTTTGCTTTGTATCAATAATTGACACCTGGCTTCTGGCACCCTATTTCAATTTATTAGGATTTTTTTTCCTCCTGCTTAAAGAATTTAGCACACTCTGCTACAATGTAACACAATGTCACTTCACTGAGGAGATTTTAAAATAACACAAAATGTAAATGGGAAGCACATGGTGCTGTTCATAAAAGTGAAGAGAGAAAATCATGGCCTTTTCTGTTAGATTGTGGACTTTCATCTGTTCATCAATCAGTTCAAATATTGTGATGTATCAGTTTATGAATCAGCACGTTCCTCCCTGCTCTTCGGAAATAAGGTGTTCTTTTGCAGCTACCTAGAAAAATCATAACAATTACTTATTTCAGCTCTGCAGACTCTACACAGCTCATTCTACCTGACTTCATTTATGGGTGGAAGAACATCTCTCACATCAACAGCTTAAAATTAACTGAAGCAGAAGCATGTTTATTTTATTTTCAATAGGGCAGCCAACAAACCAGAAAGGTCTATGTGCATTTGAATGCATATGCATGTGTTCTGTTATAGTTAAAAAGTTATTTTGGTGGTAGATGCATTCTTATTATTTTCCATTACCAATACATGGGGAGGGGGATAAATATAATTTTCTACAGGGAAGCAACCCTATGTAAGACTCATAGACAATGGGTTGCACAGAAGAATTTTCAGTGAATTTGTACCTAAAATACTAGACTTGTATTCAGATGTTAATAAAAAATTGTTGGTTCAATTATATCCAAGAAACTCAAGAATGGTAGCTCTTATATAGTATATGTTAGCTATCTCTAGTTTAAATTCTCAACCATCTTAAAATATAGGACCTTATATTCTTTGGGGGAATATATAGCAGAAGAATTGCTACAGTTCTGTAGTATAAAAATTATCTGAAGAAAATGCTTGAACATTTTGTGATGGTAGAATTAAAACAGTGTTTTCTATTTAAGCTAATTTACTTTGACAAAATATTGAACTACAAATGGTTACAAAAGTTATTTGCTCATTTTTATTTTTTAATGTTAAAAAGGAATAAGATAGAAATCTATCCTTAAAAGACAACAGTCTGAATGACTGTCATTCCTGTTTAGCATGTTCTATGGCTGAGTTCACACAACATGCTAAGCAGTATTTTAAGAATTTCATATTAACTGGGTCCAGAAAGTAAGATAGATGCCTTGGTCAAGATGAAATAGAGTCAGAAGTTCTACAAGTCAAATACAATATGATACGAGTTATGTGAAAATGGGTTGTAAACAGGGAGTTGTTCCCAACATCTAACCGTGTTTGGGTAAAGAGCCAAGATCTATAACTCCTAATTACAGAACTTGGTGCTTCAAGGCCACACAGTACTTACAAGCAGTCTTATAATATGGATTTCTCCCCTCAAGCCTACTTTCTAACTTCTGGCTCTCTACCCAAAACTGGGATGCTTCTGTGGCCTAAATGGTTTGGTATCTATTTCAAGGTCAGAGTCTGTGGGGACAAGGGTTGCAGTGTTATCTAATGTAATCCTTTCAGTGGTGTTATGGTCAAGCTGCTAATATGAGTGCTATCAGTGGGGTTCACTGTGTCTTTTCCAGAAACCTTTGTGTAAGCTGATTTTCACATCCTGGATCACACATCATGTTATTTTCATGCCCTCTTCATAACATCAGAATTACATAAGTCAGGGCTTACATAATTTGGGAACTGCTTGTATTAGTGATCCAACACAGTTTTGTTATCAGCAAATTTGATAAGCATTCCATCCACATCCTTGACCAACTGATTATGAAAAATGTGGGCAAATTCAAGCTCTAGGACTGAATCTCATTCAATGTAACATCTTATTCAAGTTTGATAAGAAGCCACTGATGACCATAATGGCTTGGTTACACATAGTAGCTATCATGGACTTTCAGAATTGAAAGTTAAAGAAAAATTAATTTTACTCTTTCCAATTTAATGTTTCTAAAATGCAGAAGAACGGAATAAGATAGAAATAAAGAAAGGGGAAAATAGACAATAATTAATGGGAAAAAAAGAATATATTGTACAGGTAGCCCTCATTTACTGACCACAATTGGGACCTGCAACTCTGTCGTTAAATGAAGTGGTTGCTAAGTGAAACTGTGAATGTGCTTATGATCTTACTTCAGCTTTCCTTTGCTTTACAGATCTGAAAAGGTCATGAAGGCAAGGATTGGTCACAAAGTTACTTTTTCATCACCATCGTAACTGGGAACAGTCACTAAATGAAGACTATCTGTATTACAGCATATGAATGTAATCTAGATTTAGAATATGACCTCACAGCAAAACTGATGTTTAGCTAAAGTGCTAACCTTAAGTTTTTAACTTTGATTAAAGTCTCATAATTGAAGATACTCAATAAGAATGTCTGCCCTATCATTTCTACTTCTCAAAAAAATTGTACCATACGTTTTACAAGGCATTTTCGAAGGATTTTTTTTTCAGATATAGGCAAAGGGTGGTGCGTGTGATATCACATCACTGCAGTTTGTATGGGGTGCCTATACACAAAAAATGTAAGGTAACATTTCCTACAATAATTAGGTGTTATATCCTAAAGCTTTATGCTACGTGTTTGGACCCTTCCACTCTGGCATTCAGGAAGCTTCTATAACTCCTCCTTTTTGAGTGGGACTTCAATGCTTCTGAGGTCTAATAGAGTAGGAAGATGTCCAGTTGACCATTTCTTGTTTTTGTTTTATTTTTGTTACTGATATAGCAATAAGACTACTGTTTTATGATTCCTGTATAATGCCCAGAATTGTGAGATTGTGGCAATATTCTGTTACTAAATAAATTAACTGTAAGGAATGTTCTTAAAATAAGAAGTCAGCTAATGTTATCAGATACAATTTCCCATGGTAAACCTACTAAGACAAGAGTAAATTGTAAGGATAATAGAGAAAATAAGTATATAAAGAACAGTTTTGTGAAATGCTCTTGGCATTTGACAGTGAATACAAGCAAGAACAGGAAAAAAGAGGAATCTTTTGTGAAGAAAAGGCATAAATAGTGTGTTTCCCTTGCAATTCTTTTTAGTACAGCTATCTTCCTTCTGGCATTACATTTTCAAGGGTTTCTTTCCAATTATTTGAAATTATAACCATTTCACACTGAAGTCTTTTATAGAGCAATCTAGTGCTCTAAAGTCCAAAGGTTATAAACATGGTTAATACCAATTAAGCATGTTAGAGTATTAATTGTCCTAATTTTAACCAATTAACATAATAATATTTTGTATATTACTATATCAAAACATGTACCTTTTAAATGTTGTAATAATTCATCAATAATAGCTAGAACTAAATGCATTTCAAAATATTTTTCTTCATTCCTCATTACAGTAAACAGTGCAAACAGGTAGTTCTTGATTAATGATCACTTGCTCAGTGATGATTTGAAGTTATTAAGGTGCTGAACAAGCAGTGGTTATGACCAGTCCTCAAAGTTCTGGCTGTCTCAGCATTCCTGCAATCACGTGATCACAATCTGGGTACTTGGCAACTGGCTCACATTTATGATGGTTGGAACTTCCTGTGGTCACATCATCACGATTTGTGACCATCCCTGTCAGCTTCCCACAAGCAAAGTCAATGGGGAAGCCAGCAGGAAAGGACGCAAGTTGCTCAGGTAAGTCCCCCCCACCCATGCACCCTGCCCCAGACTCTCTGCACTTATACTGCATTTCACCGGCCACCCGCACACCCTTGTGCACCCTCCCTGAGACTCGCTGTGCTCGTGCCGTGCCTTCCAAGCCACTCACACACCCTCCCTGAGCCTTGCTGTGCTCATGCCACCCCCCCCGCCACTTGCATACCTTCCCTGAGCCTCACTGCACTCACACCATGCCTCCCTGCCACTTGTGCACCCTTTCCCATCTGGCAGTAGCCACCCCAAGCCCGCCATGCCTCCCCAGCCACCCATCTCCCCAGCCACCCATGCACCACTTTGCTGCCTCTCCCACCTGGCAGCAGCCACTTACATGCCTGCTAGCCTGCTTGTAAGCCACCTTGGACTTGCAACTTCCTGCTGGCTTCCCTACTGACTCTGGTTGTTAGAAGCCAGCAGTAAGTTGCGAGGAGGTGCTCGCTTAACAATCTACAATTTTCACTAAACAATGGCAATGGGGACCGCAGGGATTGCTGTTGCTAAGTGATGTTATCATGTGACATCACACTTTATGACTGCATCACTTAGTGATGGAAATTCTGGTCCCAATTGTCATTGTAACGCGAAGACTACCTGTAGTGCATCCTGACTAATTGCCTCACGGCATTATCAACTAAGTTTGCCATCAATAATTAATCAAGTTAAGCTTTAGTTCATTAATTTGATGATTTAATCTTACCTTCTCTCTGTGAGTGTTAGAGAAGACAGAATCAAATTGATAAGGTTAAATAACAACAACAACAATAATAAAATTAATAATAATAATACAGAATGGCAACCAAAATGAAGGCTGCACACTAGCTGTACAAAACACTAGTCCGTTACAGAAGATACTGTAATGGGATGGAAGAATGGCCCATGTTCAGAGTAATGCTTACTTTCTCATAATATTTGATTTCATATTCTGTGATGACTCCATTGGGATGCTCAGGTTCCTGCCAGGAAAGCTCCACACTCCTTTGCAGCACTTTTTCTTTCATTACACCACTAACCTGCGAGGGAGCTGTTTGAAGAAAATACATCAGTAAACAACAGGCAAATATGCTGGATGTCTCCAATCAAATGTCACTACTGATCAATCCCATGCTGTGTTGTTGTCATTAAAGTAAGATAAAGCATCTTCCTTAGTTCAATATTTAAAAGGCAGTGAATATTTAAGCAAGGCCTTATTATTGTTCATAAACCAGAACAAAAACCTAAGTTAAGGTATAAACCACAAAAGGCAGTATTGTTCAAATCAGTTCCAAGTCCAAGGAGCAAGCAAGGTATCACAATGACAAGTAAACAAATTCTAATTAACCAACAACCAAATATTCTACATTTCAATGCCACTTAAAAGAAAAATGAAGGCACAAGGACCAAATATGAAGTCCTATTTCAAATCCTCACCATGTGTAATTCCAGTTCAAGTTCAAACTCATGGTATTCTTGTAGTTATAAATGTGTCTGAAAGCAGAAAGCATGCAATGCTGAATAATAGAAAGCTGCTATAGCTGCAAATACATTATCGTTTTTCTTTGGGGGATCATGTTTCTCTGAGCAATTGTTTTAAAATGAGGAAAGTCTACTGAGCTGTCAATAAACAGAAACAGATATTTAACTTTGGACTATGAAATGCACCACTCTACTGCACTCTCAGCATTTCTCTGTGGTGATGGTGGTTTTAACAGAAAAGACTCTGAATTGTCAGGAAGAAAATATCCATAAGATTTCATTCACCAAATATCAATATAGAATTTTTATGTTCCACTTTTCGAACAGCTGACTATTATCACTGCTTGGATGTGGAAGATATAATAGCAACACCATCATTACAGCAAACTCTACAAGCTCATTTATCCCAATATATACATATTTATGCATGCTGTCCTAAAATACATATTTTTGTTAAGCAAAACTCCTTCATAATACAACGTTGGACATTTTTTTCTTAACATATGCATTTCTTTCTATATTTGCTCTTAACAAACAGATTTCCAGGCATACTCCAGGAGTTGCAAACCACATCACATAATTTGAAATATTAGAAATTCTAGCATTATGACTGAGATATATCTAGGGTATTTACCTATGGCTAAGAGTTGCATTAGGATTTAAGAAGCATGAAAGGGGCTGCACTCCAAACAGAAGCAACATTCTGATAAAAAAGAAATTGAGTTTATATCACATAGATTTATGAATAGAATTATTCACCCAAGGAGGGGTTCTATTTCCAAAGAGTGCAATTACAGCACCAAGGAAACCATACTATTTGAAGAGCTTGCTTTCTGTGGCAGTGACCACCAGAAAAAGAAGAGAGGAAGCAATGGGAAGGAAAGAAAGAGGGAGGAACAGGGAAAGTGCAACCACAGTGGCAAAATCCAGTGGCAAGATTAGGGAAGGGAAGTCTGCAGTGAATCCTCTTGAAAGCTAAAATACATTGCATGGATGACAGCAAGTACACTTGGATGTATCTGGAAATGCAAATTAGTTACATTTTTACTGAAATGTCTATTAAACAAAATTGTTACTAATGTTAAGGAAGCAGATATAAATCTGTGATTACCACACCTGAAAAAAGGATGTGATAATACCAAAAACAGAGCCAGTCTGGTGTCATGCTCAAGGGACCAGGCTAGAAACCAGGACACCATGAATTATAGTCCCACCTTAGGCACGACGCCAGCTGGGTGGCCTTGAGTCAGTCACTCTACCTCAGCCCTAGGAAGCAGACAGTGGCAAACCAATTCCAAAAAAACCTTGCCAAGAAAACTGCAGGGACTTGTCCAGGCAGTCACCAGAGTCAACTCTGACTCCAAGGCAAAACAAAACAAAAAACAAAACAAAC